CCTCCCCTTACTTCCCCCGTCACCCCTCCCCTTGCACCCCCCGTAACCCCTCCCCTTCCCTCCACCCTCGCGGGAAATGAAATTGGAAGTGTCACGCGGCCCCGCGCGCGAGACGGATGGCGCGCGCGCGCTCGCGCCTCCCACGGCGCGCGGGGCCGCGGGGGTCTGGGGCGGGGGGCGGGGGTGGGAGGGGGGCAGGGATGGTGGGTGGGGGTGGGAGGGGGGGGATGGTGAGATGGAGAGTGGAGAGATGGAGGAGGGTGGTGGGATGATGGTGGGGGGGGGGGGGGGTCAGCGGAGGGGAGGGGGCGAGGGGAGGGAGATGGGGGGTGGGGGGTGAATGTGTTGTGGCCGGGCTGTGTTGTGGCAGTGCTAGGGGGGGGTGGGTGCTGTGCGTAGAGACGTGCCCAGAATGCGTGTGAGCAGCAGGGTATGTGTGTTACTGTGTGTGTGTTACTGTGTGTGTGTTAGTCGGTGTGTGTGTTACTGTGTGTGTTACTGTGTGTGTTACTCTGTGTGTGTTAGTCGGTGTGTGTGTTGTTGTGTGTGTGTTACTGTGTGTGTTACTGTGTGTGTGTGTTACTGTGTGTGTGTGTTACTGTGTGTGTTACTGTGTGTGTTAATCAGTGTGTGTTAGTCGGTGTGTGTTACTGTGTGTGTGTGTTATTGTGTGTGTGTTACTGTGTGTGTGTTACTGTGTGTGTTACTGTGTGTGTTACTGTGTTTATGTTACTGTGTGTGTGTTACTCTGTGTGTGTTACTGTGTGTGTTAGTCGGTGTGTGTGTTGCTCTGTGTGTTACTGTGTGTGTGTTAGTCCGCACAGACTGTAACAACTACAGGGGCATCTCACTCCTCAGTGTGCCAGGAAAGGTCCTGGCAAGGATTATTCAAGATCGCCTTGCTAGGCACGCTGAGGAGGGGCTTGCGGAGCCCCAATGTGGTTTCAGGAAAGGGCGGTCCTGCACAGATGCCATATTTTCTGTCCGTCTGCTACAGCAGAGGTGTAGGGAATTTCAACAAGACCTACATCTCTGCTTTATTGACCTGGTCAAGGCCTATGATACCATCAGTAGGCCTGGGCTCTGGGTTATTCTTTGTGCTTTTGGAGTCCCTGACCCTCTGCTCACGATCATTAAGGACCTTCATGATGGTGCGTGGGCCCGGGTAAAACTACGTGACCGGGAGTTGGAGCCATTTCCTGTTCACCTTGGAGTGCGACAGGGATGTCCTCTGGCTCCCACATTATTTAACATATTTTTCGACCACGTAGTTCGTGAAGCCTTCGATGGCTGTACCGGAGGAATTTCCATCTGGTACAGATACAATGGGAGGCTGATCGATGCCCGGGTGCGGTCAAGGCATGGCTACCTATTGGTTAACCACGTTATGTATGCCGATGATCTGGTAGTTGTTGCTCACTCAGTGGAGGAGTTGGAGGCGCTGCTGTTGAACCTGGAGCTTCCCACTAAGAGGGGCGACCTTACCATCAACCCCACCAAAACTAAGCACCTGCTTGGGTATTTTGTACCATCGGACACTCCACCCCCACAACTCCCAATCGGTGATGGGGCAGTTGTGGAGAGAGTGGAGAGTTTCCCATACCTGGGCAGTGTGCTCATGATCGGCTCCGGTTTAACAGCAGAGGTCTCACTCCGGATCAGTCGAGCGGCATTATCTTTTCATCGGTTGCGTAACGCTGTGTGGAATCTACCTGCTCTGTCGCTCCGCACAAAGCTTCGGGTCTTCTCGGCCAGTCATTCCCTCCCTTCTCTACGCTTGCGAAACGTGGACCCCCCTAATGGAACATCTTCGCCGGTTAGAAACATTTAGGCTGGCCTGCCTACGATCAATCCTGGGTTTAACCAGGCTGGATTGTGTGAGGAGCTCACAAATCCTCGAAAGATCTGGACAAAGTCCCATCGGTGAGACCCTCCGGCAGGCAAGGCTGCGTTGGTTGGGTCATGTAGCCCGCATGCCCAGCCACCGCGAGCCTAAACAGCTTTTGTTCGGCCGGATCGAGGGGGCTAAACGGGCGCGGCACGGGCTAGAGAAGAGATGGAGTGATATGGTACAGGAGGACGTGGAGCTGAGTGAACTTGCCGATGACTGGTACCAGCGGTATCAAGATCGGCCTCTGTTGTGGAGGCTCATGAAGGACGCTACTGGGCAGTTGGAGGCAGTCGACCTCCAACAACAAGAGAGGGCGGAGGAGCGACGCTCACAACAACGAGCGGAGCACCGGGTGGCTAAAGCACAGCCAGTTGGCACAGTAGGGGGCACAGGTGGTGCATCAGCCAGTCGTCTCAGTCAGTCGACCTGTGGCATCTGGGTCTGCCCCGTGAACTCCTGCCAGCGGGCGTTCGACACTTCACGTGGCCTCAAGGTGCACATAGCCTGGCACAAGCGTCGTGGTGACATCACCGCCACTTAGTGGCGAATGGCGGTTGTTGTTATTACTCTGTGTGTGTTACTCTGTGTGTTACTCTGTGTGTGTGTGTTACTGTGTGTGTATGTTACTCTGTATATGTTACTCTGTGTTACTCTGGGGAGCGGTAGCGGTTAGCGCGCTGCGCTACGAACCTGGCGACCCGGGTTTGATTCCCGCTCACACCAACAGCAGTTATGATTATCTAAACCGGTCCTGGCCCTCCCCTAGGTCGACTCGGCCTCAAATGAGTACCTGGTATGGTGTGTAAACATCGCCACTAGGGAGACAAAGGCGGCCGGGCGTGGTGTTGGCCACCCACCCCCTCGTGTGCCGTGCCGGCCTTTTTCGGTGCTCGCTAACAGCACTTGCCCCTACAGTCTGTTAAGGCTACACGGGGGATCTTTGTTGTTACTCTGTGTGTTCCTCTGTGTGTGTGGGTGGAGGGGTAGTGTAGTGGTTAGCGCGCTGCGCTACGAACCTGGTGACCCGCGTTCGATGGCCAACACCAGTGACGATTGTCTGAACCTGTCCTGGGTGTCTCCTAGGTCGACTCAGCCTGAAAGGAGTACCTGGTCCAGTACGTAAACATCGCCACTAGAGAGACAAAGGCGGCCGGGCGTGGTGTTGGCCACCCACCACCTCGTGTGCTGTGCCGGCTTTCATAGGTGCTCGCTAACAGCACTTGCCCCTACAGTCTAGTAAGGCTATACGGGGGATCTTTGTATGCATGTATGAATGTGTGTGCAAACGAGTGTTCCTGTGTGTTTGTTATTTCGTGTTATTCCATGTGAATGTGTATATCCCTCTGTTTGGCCGGCACGGGCGAGAGAAGAGATGGAGTGATGTGGTTCGGGAGGATGTGGAGCTGAGTGGACTTGCCGATGACTGGTACCAGCGGTGTCAAGATCATCGCTCTCTGTGGAGGAGGCTCGTGAAGGACGCTACTGGGGAGTTGGAGGCAGCCGCCCTCCAACAACAGCGGAGGGCAGAGGAGCGACGCTCACAACAACGAGCGGAGATAAAATGCAGCGAGTTGGTACAGTAGGGGGCATGGGCGGTGCATCTGCCAGTCATCTCAGTCAGTCAACGGATGGCACCTGGGTCTGTCCGGTCACCTCCTGCCGGCAAACATTTCGACACTTCACGTGGCCTCAAAGTGCACCTCGTCTGGCAAAGCGCCGCGGGGACGTCACCGCCACTTCGTGGCGAACGGCGGCTCTTGTGTCAGCATTGCGTGTCCCTGTGGGGAGCGGTGGCGCAGTGGTTAGCGCACTGCGCTACTAACCGAGCCACCCGAGTTCGATTCCCGCTGACGACCAATATTAGTGATGGATATCTGAACCGGTCTTGGGCCTCCCCTACGTCAACTCAGTAGCTGGTGCAGTGTGTAAACAGCAGCAGTGGGGAGACAAAGGCGGCCGGGTGTGGGGCTGGCCACCCGCCTCTCTCGTGTGCCGCGCCGGCCTTCCCCAGAGCAGCACTTGCCCCAACAGCCTGTTAAAGGCTATACGGGTAAGCTTTGTCTTTTTTTCCGCGTGACTGGAAACAGCGACAGGCCAGACAGCGTCCACACGCAGCCGATGTAAAGATAATTCCGCTCGACTCATTGATTCCAAGTGAGAACTCCGCTGCCAAAACGGAGTTGGTCATAAGCACACTGCCCAGGTATGGGAACTCCTTCTCTCCACCCTCTCCACAGCTGTCCCATCACTCAGACGGAGCCGAGGGAGGGGAACATTCGATGACACAAAATAGCCAGGCTGATGGGAAGGGGCTGATGGTCAGGCCCCATCTGAGATGATTAGTTAGCATGCTCCAGGTTCAGCACATGAGCCTCGAACTCATTGTCAGAGCGAGCAACAATTACAGTACCAGCCCGTCCGCAGGGTGGCAGGCAGGTGGTGGATGCTTATTGTGGGTGGTGGTGGGTGTATGTGAGTAGTAGTAGGTGATTATGGGTGATTGTGGGTGATTGTGGGTGGTGGTGGTGGGTCAGTGGTGGTGGTGGTGGGTGATTTTGGGTGGTGGTGGGTGATTGTGAGAGTGGTGGTGGTTGGTTGTGGGTGGTGGTGGTGGTGGGTGGTTGTGGCTGGTGCTGGTGGGTGATTGTGGGTGGTGGTGGGTGATTGTGAGTAGTGGTGGTGGTGGGTGAGTAGTGGTGGTGGTGGGTGATTGTGAGTAGTGGTGCTGGTGGGTGATTGTGAGTAGTGGTGGTGGTGGGTGAGTAGTGGTGGTGGTGGGTGAGTAGTGGTGGTGGTGGGTGATTGTGAGTAGTGGTGGTGGTGGGTGATTGTGTGCGCAAAGGGACGTGCAGAGACGCGCGCGTGCGATGACACCGAGAGAGGGAGAAGGGAACGCGTGGATGAGAGGACACACGCCGATGCATGGAGTCATCAAGCTGTTGAGTGAGTGGGTGCTCGGGCAGCACGGGTCACGGTTAGAAGGGACGATGAGGGTCGAGACTCATCACAGGGTGGCAACCAGGGAACGCAAGGAACGCGGTCGAGAGGAGGACTCCCGAGGAGAGGGAGGCGATGATTACATTCTCTCACGGTGCTCGCGTGAGTTGTTAAATTGCAGGATCGTGAAACGTTGCGGCGGCGAGGAGAGGCCTTCATGCAGCACTGGAATGAGCATGGCTGCTGCTGGTTAACTATTCACTCTTTTCTTTCAGACGTGACCTGGCCAAAAAACGAGAGCTCAACGAATTGGCTCATCGTGCGGAAATGTTTAGCGGCCAAGTGCTCTAAACGCGCGTTGCCAAACGTGGAGACCCCGAAGGACCCGGGGACAAAATCCACGCGCAGAGAGAGACGCGCAGACTCCAGACGTCCACAGCGGCAGGCGTCAGGGTCGGGATCGAACCCACGAACCTCCTGCACACCAGGCGAGGTAGTCAACATCTAGCCACACACAAACATACAGCGGCAGACGTCAGGGTCGGGATCGAACCCACGAACCCCCTGCACACCAGGCGAGGTAGTCAACATCTCCTAGCCGCACACACATATACAGCGGCAGGCGTCAGGGTCGGGATCGAACCCACGAACCTCCTGCACACCAGGCGAGGTAGTCAACATCTCCTAGCCGCACACACATATACAGCGGCAGGCGTCAGGGTCGGGATCGAACCCACGAACCTCCTGCACACCAGGCGAGGTAGTCAACATCTCCTAGCCACACACAAATATACAGCGGCAGGCGTCAGGGTCGGGATCGAACCCACGAACCTCCTGCACACCAGGCGAGGTAGTCAACATCTCCTAGCCACACACAAATATACAGCGGCAGGCGTCAGGGTCGGGATCGAACCCACGAACCTCCTGCACACCAGGCGAGGTAGTCAACATCTCCTAGCCACACACACATATACAGCGGCAGGCGTCAGGGTCGGGATCGAACCCACGAACCTCCTGCACACCAGGCGAGGTAGTCAACATCTCCTAGCCACACACAAATATACAGCGGCAGGCGTCAGGGTCGGGATCGAACCCACGAACCTCCTGCACACCGGGCGAGGTAGTCAACATCTCCTAGCCACACACACATATACAGCGGCAGGCGTCAGGGTCGGGATCGAACCCACGAACCTCCTGCACACCGGGCGAGGTAGTCAACATCTCCTAGCCACACACAAACATACAGCGGCAGGCGTCAGTGTCGGGATCGAACCCACGAACCTCCTGCACACCGGGCGAGGTAGTCAACATCTCCTAGCCACACACACATATACAGCGGCAGGCGTCAGTGTCGGGATCGAACCCACGAACCTCCTGCACACCGGGCGAGGTAGTCAACATCTCCTAGCCACACACAAACATACAGCGGCAGGCGTCAGTGTCGGGATCGAACCCACGAACCTCCTGCACACCGGGCGAGGTAGTCAACATCTCCTAGCCACACACACATATACAGCGGCAGGCGTCAGGGTCGGGATCGAACCCACGAACCTCCTGCACACCCGGCGAGGTGGGGAGGTTCGTGGCTGCGAGTTGATCCCGCGAGTGGCACGAGGAGGAGGAGGTTTACTCACGTGGGGGTTCACGATGGCGGGATTGAGGTTGGGCGGGGGCTATGGAAGGTGTGCATCTCCCGACTCCCACCACCACCACCACCACCCCCCCACCACCACCACCCCCCCACTACCACCACCCCCCCCACGGCCCCCTCCCCCACGGCCCCCGACCTACTTAGCAAGTGGAGCATGGCGGCGTTATCTTTCATTTATAAACACGGAGCTCGTGGTCTCAAGTGTTATCGAGTCTCCGCGCACGCACACACACACGCACACACACACACGCAGACACACACGCACACACACACAGACACACACACGCATACACACATGCACTGCACACACACTGGTACACACACTGGAAACACACACTGGGGACACACGCGTACACACACACACGGACACACACACACTACACACACACACTACACACACACTACACACACTACACACACACACTGCACACACACTACACACACCACATACACACACTACACACACACACTACACACACACCACACACTACACACACACTACACACACACACTACACACACATCACACCCACACCACACACACACTACACACACACCACACACACCACACACACACACCACACACACTGGCGCCCTTGTCCGTGGCTCTATGAAGTGACGCGTAGTCACTGCGACTCCCCCAGGACGGAAACTCTGCCGCGCTCCCGGCTCTGGGCGAGGAACGCGGCGGCGCTGAGGATGATGGCGATGATGATGATGGTGATGATGATGGTGGTGATGGTGGTGGTGATGATGGTGGTAATGGTGGTGGTGATGATGGTGGTGATGATGATGATGGTGGTGATGACTCACAATGTGATGATGATGGTGGTGGTGGTGATGATGGTGATAGTGGTGATGGTGGTGATGATAATGGTGGTGATGATGGTGGTGATGCTGATGATGGTGGTGGTGGTGATGATGATGGTGATGATGATGGTGGTGGTGATGATTATGATGGTGGTGGTGATG